GGGAGGGGTGACCAAGGCGGTGGTGCCACAGGAGAGTGTCGTGCGACAAAGCGCGACACTCGCAAGGGGCCGCCAGCTGACCAGACACAGACGCAGACGCAGCTACCTGACGGGACTCAGTGGTGAGTGTGTACAGACTCGAGCCAGGCGCACGGGTAAATGTGGCCAGGTGTCGGCCCGTCCGAGCACACGTACAGTGAGTCACTCGCTGACTCGCAGGAGTGAACTGGTGAACCCCCCCATCCTGGAGGTCAGCTCCACTCACCAAGTTCGTAGAGAACGAGGGGAGGTAAAGACCTGACAGCGAGCCAGACGGGGCGGCCGGACACGGCAGAACCGTGGAGTAGTGGGCAAGGACAGGACCCCCAGAGGGGTCCGCCAGGGAGACTGCAACTGGCCGACTAAGCGGCGTGAGTGTGGTGCAGTCGCGAAAGAAGGAGCGGGAAGCTCCTGAGTCAAGGGTGAAGGTGTGCAAGACCGCAGCAGGCGCAGTACCAGAGAGAGCAGACTCACCAGCACCTGGAGCCGCAGCCTCACCAGCACCGAGAGCAGGAGACGTACTAGCACCTAGAGCAGCAGCCTCACCAGTACCTAGAGCAGGAGACGCACTAGCACCTAGAGCAGCAGCCTCACCAGCACCGAGAGCAGCAGGCTCTATACCAGGGTCAGGCGGTACGCACAGGTAACAGGCACGGTCAGCACTAGTAGGCAATGCATACATGGCAGTGAGAATAGCATCATAGTCAGGAGCAAAGATATCTACCCTCTGTCCAAGCAGCTCCAGCCAGGTGGGGAGCTCAGCCTCGTCGCCAAACACTGTACGCCAGTCGTCGCTCAGACGGGCAAAGCAGCGGGACTGTGTGTGACCAAGCGTCCCGCAAGGCTGACCAACCCGATCACCTGTGCGAATGACGTACAGGCAGCGAACTGTACGCGTAGACCTGCTACACTGAGCGTACCACTCGTGGAGCTGCCGGGACGTAAGTGTCTCGCGTGGACGCCGCTGCAGCTGCAGCTGGCCACTGCCAGACACTCCCAACTCACCAGCTCCAGGGGGGCAGCTACGATGGCTACCGCGACAACCCCAGCTAGTATACCACTCACTAAGCTGCTGGGGCGTGAGAGACTCACGTGAACGTCGCTGGAGCTGCATCTGGCCACCTGCCAGTAGCAGTAGCAGCAGCAGTAGCGCGGGCAGGGCAGGCGCGGCAGGCCGACAGGCAGGCAGGCCGGCAGGCAGACAGACAGGCAGGCCGGCAGGCAGGCAGGCAGGCAGGCAGGCAGGCAGGCAGGCAGGCAGGCAAGCAGGCAGGCCGGCAGGCAGGCAGGCAGGCAGGCCGGCAGGCAGACAGGCAGGCCGGCAGGCAGGCAGGCAGGCGCTCACCAAAGGCTGGAAGAGCAGGCGCTCGCCGGGCGAGCAGGGCCGGCGCTCGACGGGCGGCGGCCGAGTAGGCGCACGACAGCGGCGACGTCGGGGCCGCAACACCGGGTGCAGGGTAGGGCCGAAGCAGCTGCAGGGCGGGGCCGCTTCAGCGGCAGTTGCAGGGTGGGGCCGCGTCAGCGGCAGGTCGGGGCCGTGGCAGCTGCAGGGCGGGGCCGCATCAGCGGCAGGTCGGGGCCGAGGCAGAGGGACGCGCGCGGCTCGGCGCGGGCTGCGCTGACAGCGCGCTGGGCTGCTGCAGGCCGCGCGCGGCCGCGCTAGGCAGTAGCGGGCCGCGCGCGGCTCGGCGCGGGCTGCTGCGGGCCGCGCGCGGGCCGCGCGAGGCAGTAGCAGGCCGCGCGCGGCTCGGCGCGGGCTGCTGCGGGCCGCGCGCGGGCCTCGCGAGGCAGGAGCAGGCCGCGCGCGGCTCGACGCGGGCTGCGTGGGCTCGGCGCGGGCTGCGCGCGGCAGCAGCGAGCTGCGTGCGGCTGCAGCGGGCTGCGCGCGGCTCGGTGCGGGCTGCGCGGGCTCGGTGCGGGCAGCGCGCGGCAGCAGCGGGCTGCGCGCGGCTCGGTGCGGGCTGCGCGGGCCTGAAGGGCGTGTAGGGGCGGCGCGCGGGCCTTACGGGCCTCTAGGGGCAGCGCGCTGGCCTAGGGCAGCAGGAGGCAGCGCTAGGGCTGCTGGACGGCTCGCGTAGTGCAGCACGTCACAAGGCAAGGCAAGGCAGGCAGGTACGTGGGGTAGCGCGGTAACCGCAGCGGTAGGTGGGTCCGAAAGAAAACGGTCCTACGGACCTTAGTGCTCTGAAACCATGTTAGAATCTAGCAGCAGGGATGATGAACTAACAGCATGCAGGAGTACAAGTAGGAAACCCTAATTGGGTTGTACCCCATGTGGGCTACCCCACTACAGCCTAGACAATATGCAGCATATATGTTTGACACATTGTTATTACCATTACCACTTAACATCATCATTACTATTACCATTACCATTTCCATTACCAGTATCATTACTATTACCATTACCATTATCATTACTAGAATCATTATCATTACCATTACCATTACCATTACCATTACCACTACCATTACCATTACCATTACCATTACCAACTTGTCAGAATAGTGGCATAACTAGGTAGTTGGGTTTAAGTGAGGGCCTAGGCTTAGTAGCCTAGGCCAAGGGGAGTCGAGAGAGTTGTGCCAAGGAGGAGTCGAGAATGATGGTGTTCACTATAGCACGAGGGTACATATAGCAAACAAATGAAGAGGTGCACCACCTACAAAGTTAATAACTACACTACAGCTAGAACTACATGCAGTTATAACAATGCAATTCTGACATCCCCCCGTAACTGCATGCAGGAATAGCTAAGTGCAAGACACAACCTGCAGGGGTACATCACAGACAAAGAAAATAGCAACCGCAGGCAAGAGCAGATGCAAGTTCACAAAATAGAGACAAGTGGCAGCACTAGAGGGGCAGTAAGGAGGAGGAGTTGGGAGGCGGCAGGTGAGGCTGCTGGGGAAGAAGCCGCCCCACGGCCACAGAGGGGCGGCGCGCAGGGAAGGGCAGGGGCGGCTGCACCGAGGGCAGGCGCGTGAAGGACAGGGGCGGCTGCACCCAGGGCAGGCGCCGTCGCGGGAGCCAGGGGCGGGTCCGCGGCGGCTCAGGGCACCATCGCAGGCGCCAGGGGCGGGTCCGCGGCGGCTCAGGGCACCGTCGCGGGCGCCAGGGGCGGGTCCGCGGCGGCTCAGGGCACCGTCGCGGGCGCCAGGGGCGGGTCCGCGGCGGCTCAGGGCACCGTCGCGGGCGCCAGGGGCGGGTCCGCGGCGGCTCAGGGCACCGTCGCGGGCGCCAGGGGCGGGTCCGCGGCGGCTCAGGGCACCGTCGCGGGCGCCAGGGGCGGGTCCGCGGCGGCTCAGGGCGCCGCCGCGGGCGCCAGGGGCGGGTCCGCGACGGGCAGAAAAAACGTCACGCGCCACCCGGGCGCGGGACAGAACGAAACTCGCCACGCGCCCGAGGCGCGCGACCGGAAAAACAGCAGCGGAAGCGAGAGGCTGGCCCACAGGCCAGGACTTAACAGGCTCTAATACCATGTCAGAATAGTGGCATAACTAGGTAGTTGGGTTTAAGTGAGGGCCTAGGCTTAGTAGCCTAGGCCAAGGGGAGTCGAGAGAGTTGTGCCAAGGAGGAGTCGAAAATGATGGTGTTCACTATAGCACAAGGGTACATATAGCAAACAAATGAAGAGGTGCACCACCTACAAAGTTAATAAATACACTACAGCTAGAACTACATGCAGTTATAACAATGCAATTCTGACACAACTTCCATTACCATTACCAGGGCCTCAGATTCATTTTGGCCTAGGCTGAATCGTCAGCCTTAGGAGTTGGCTGAAGGCTGATCAATCAGGGTAACCTTAGAAAAAAAAGCTGAAATTTCAGTGTTTAGTTTAGAAAAATGGCTGATCGTTCAGCCTTGCTTAAATCAAGCAAGCTTTCCTAAAGCGCAACACAGTCATGCAAAATGTGGCATTGATAAAAGGGCACGCGATGTGCTGCCAACAGTGCACACGATGTGCACTCCTGTACAGTATGAAAAATTCTGTCAGCGACAACCGTGCGCGCGACATGGTGAATCCGAGCGAATTTCCTGTGATTGGGCGAAATTCTAGTAGAACGTGCTGTGTCAGAGCGAATTTCTTGTGATTGGACGAAGTTGTTGTGCTCTGACGGGGCGAATATCTGCTCTGTTTGGGCAAATTTGTTGTCTCAAAGGCGAATTTGCTGAGTCAGGTCGAATCTGCAGTGATGAGTCAAGCTGGAACACTCCGAAAACCAGAGACAGTGGGACGGGCGAGCCTAGACATCCGAAATTCTCAGCACTACACGAATCTTCACTAGTGGGATTTCAGCCTACACCCCCATTACACCGCTGATCAGTCAGTGTACACCTCCAAAAAAACTCTGAAATATCAGCCAATACAATGAAAAAAATGCTAAAAAATCAGCATTACCATTACCACTAGCATGAGCCTTCCGAATATGCATCATTCTGATTGTTGAATGTTTTTCCCGATGACCACAGATATTTATACGCTTTCTAAGCTTTTGTCAGAAAAAAACAGTCGATATTTTAATGCGCCGGTTTTTTTTTTTTTTTTTTTGGCACAAGAACCAAGCCGAATAGGCTCTACTAGGTTTATTTAAACATGAGCCACTCGAATTAGCAATGACATTCAAGTTGTTGAATGATTTTCCCTATGCTTATAGGGATTCATACGCTTTCTAGGCATTTTTCGGCAAAAACAACCGAAATCATAGATGCCAAACTCTTCTTTGCGCAAGAACCAAGCCGAAATTGCTCTATCAGGTTGTTTTTCAAGACGAACCACTGCACCTCAAACCTGCACGTCAAACTTGTACTCCTAAACTTGCACGTCAAACTTGCACCTCAAACGTGCCCTCTTATTGGTGCATATGTTCCCCTCTCACCCTACCGGCCTATTCCTCCGCCCCTCTGTGTCCCTGCCCCTCTTTCCCTCTGTCCTTGTGCTCCCGGTGCCAAAGCTATGGAACCATTCGTAGCCGCAGCAGCAGCAGCAGCAGCAGCAGCAGCAGCAGCAGCAGCAGCAGCAGCACCAGCAGCAGCAGCAGCAGCACCAGCACCAGCAGCAGCAGCACCACCAGCAGCAGCAGCACCAGCAGCACCACCACCAGCAGCAGCAGCAGCAGCAGCAGCAGCAGCAGCAGCAGCAGCAGCAGCAGCAGCAGCAGCAGCAGCAGCAGCAGCAGCAGCAGCGGCACCACCAAGAGCATGACCCTCGCCAGCAGCAGTATCACCAACAGGAGCAACGCCTTCGGCCACAGGTCCTGCCCCTCTCTCTCTTTCTTTCCAGGGTCCCAACACAGAGTGGGAACCACCTGGCATGGTTGATGCCATCAAGTCATGGGTTGAATTCCTCTATCCCTTGCCCAGTTAGAATGGGGGTGACTATAGTGATGCTGGGGGTGACTATGTCGAGTATGGGGATTATGGCGGGGTTTTGGGGGAAGGGAGGGGGGGGGAGGGGGAGGGGGGGGGAGGGGGGGGGGGGGTGGGACTGGTAGTGGCAACAACACAGGCAGCAGCAATGGCGGCAGCAGCAGCGACAGCGACAGTGGCAGCAGCAGCAGCAGTAGCGGTGGCAGCACCAACAGCAGAGCAGCAGCAGCAGCAGCAGCAGCAGCAGCAGCAGCAGCAGCAGCAGCAGTGGAGAGGCGGAGATGGCATACCGAAATCCCCCGCATAGTACACCCTAGGGTGTACTGATAAATACCCCCCTTTAGGGGGGTGTTTAATTATGGGGGGTGTGTAGGCCTGCACCCATGGGTGTTATATAATGGCATTATTTTATGTGAAGAAACACATGTTTTCTGTACTCAACTTGCCTTGTTTATCGAGTTGTTTATCGAGTCGAGCTGAGAATGGTTTGAACTGCGCATAAAGTGTGAGCCATGACATGCTGACTCACTGGCAAGAGGCTCACACGCGCCTGAATCGATCGAAGGCAGTCCCTCAGCCATGCGCGATAACATTTTAGGGGTGAAGCGTCCCTCCCGATAGAGAAACTCGTTAAAAATCCTCTCGCGATTCACATTTTGATGAATGAGGGGTGTACTGAAATTTTCAAAAAATCAGGGGGGTGTTATAACTGGTGTATTTATGAGCACACCCACCATAATAGAACACCCATAAGTGTTCTATTTTGGGGGGTGTACTCTGCGGGGGATTACGGTACAACATAACGGAAGGGGAGGTGCCTCCATGGGCTGAGAGCTTCTGGCTCGGCCAGGGTTAAAAGTTTTGGGAAGAGCCGGTGCATGCAACGGCGGCAGGGCAGGGACAAGCAGCAGTAGCAGGGCCATGGCAAGCAGCAGTGCAGCAGTCGTCTCAAAAATTGAAGGCAGCAGTGCAGGCAGCAGGAGCGCATGTCAGAGGTCCACTGGTGATCCCCGATTGATCCTAGGGAAGGGTTACAGGCATGGCGGCCTGGGGGGTTATAGGCGCACTCACCCGCTACACAAACAAGCCCTTTTATCCCAGTGGTTAGTGACTGGGATTCTGACATGGTATCAGAGCGAAGGTCTTGGGTTCGAATCCCGGTGTGTGCACCTCGAGCATCCCAGTGCGGGGTTGTGTCAGAGGTCCACTGGTGATCCCCGATTGATCCTAGGGAAGGGTTACAGGCATGGCGGCCTGGGGGGTTATGGGCGCACTCACCCGCTACACAAACAAGCCCTTTTATCCCAGTGGTTAGTGACTGGGATTCTGACAGCGCAAGCATCAGCAGCAGTGCAAGCATCAGCTGCAGTGCAAGCATCAGCTGCAGTGCAATCAGGAGCAGCAGTGCAAGCAGTAGCAGTGGTGGTGCCACAGGAAATAGGAGATGGGTCGCTTGAGTTACCCATTGGACGCACGCTGCACCCCTCCTCTGTAGAAGATTCCTTGTAAGTTTCTGCTTTGGGAGCTGGTTGTACACGATTCCTTGAATGATGTTCTTCTCCTCTCTTTCCCATCCCCCGGTTAACCAACCCATCTCCTTCACATCGCCTTCACATCTCCTTCTACCCCCTTTTTAACTCTCTTTTCATTCGGCCCCCAATTAGCTTCTCTGGCGCACATGCACCACCGCTAGCTTCGGCATTACTCTAAATTGGAACCGTGGTTCCTATGGTATTATCCACTAGAATTGTTTCATGCCTAAACGTACAGCACATGCATTAAGCATAAGCTTCACCACCCACACCACAACACAGCATGTGACGTGCATTCACCTAGGAACGCACACATGCTGCTCCGTCATGCTGACTCAGCAACGCATTGCTGCTGCCCAGACCAGCACACCACCACTCCCATGCTGACTCAGCAGAGCAGCACCACTGCGCCTTCATCACGTTGACTCAGCAAAGCCCACGCGCTCATTCCCAAAATCATACACCGAGTGGTACGCCCCCAGAAACGTGTCCCCCAGAATCCTGGCATTGGGGGGAGGGTGGGAAGATGGGTGGGGGAGGGGAAGCGGACAAGGGGGTGACTTGGCAGACAGTGGGGAGCAATGGTGCTGCTGCCTAGAAGCAGAGAGAGAGAGTCAACGAATCGGAGCGGCGCCACAAAAGACTTGTTGGAACGTCAACAGAGACACACACCCCACACTCACCAGATGGGGCCGAGGGGTTCAGGCACGTCGAGGGGCAGGAAGCCGCTGATGCAGAGCTGCTGATGGTGCTGCTGCTGCATCCCTTGGTCCCGAGAATGAATATCACACACAAGCCACAGGCCCAACTCACCAGATGGGACCCAGGGGTTCAGGCACGTCGAGGGGCAGGAAGCCGCTGATGCACAGCTGCTGGCCGGCCTGCCCCGCCTGTAGCACGTACTGCTCCGGCTGTAGCGCAAACTGCTTGTCCCCGATGGTGAAGGCCACAGCCGGCATCATGTGCACCTTGCTGCAGTCCACCTGCGCCTGCCCGCCTGGGCTTGGAATGTGCTCACACATCTGAGCAGGGAGGGGGAGGTGGGAGGAGAGGAGAGGAATGGAGGAAAATGGTGAAGGCCACAATCGGCATCCAATGCACCTTGCCATAATCCACCTGCGCCTGGTCACCAGGGCTTGGAATGTGCTCACACATCTGAAAAAAATGGAGGGGAAGGGAGAGGAGAAAGGTGCATAAGGTAAGCGAGGCGTGCGTGGTACTGCAAAATGTTAGTGCCTCGTACGTTCGCTTTGTGTGCGATGGTAACTGGCAGTTACTGACTGCTCATCTTTGTCTGCCTGAAAAAACATACGGTTGACGTGCCACGGCATGCTGGCATGGCACGATGGCAGGCAGGTAAGGACGATGAGAGTGAGCATCAGCAAATGCACTCGCTGACTCGCTCACTCGCTCACTCGCTCGCTGCCGGGCGCACCTTGTTGAGATGGCTGATGATCTGCGACCGCGTCTTGTTCCTCGCCAGCTGGTTCTGCACCCATATCACCAACGCCTCGCACAGCGAACACTTGGGGTCGCCCACGCGCCCTCCGTTGCTGCCGCTGCTCCCAGTGCTGCTTGCTTCGCCACCGACGGCATCTGCCACGTCAGCGTGGTCCCCGGGCATCTGGATGACTGGATCCTCCTCCCACCCGAGCAGGCGGCGGCTCATGCTGGCAGGGGAGAGATGAAGGAAGGAAGGAAGGAAGGAAGGAAGGAACAAAAACACAGATTTTTCAGTGATTGAAAAGCCAGGGGGGAGGGGGGAAGAAAAGCAAGGGCAGTGAAAGAGTACGGTATACATGGGAAGGGGGCGGGAGCAAAGAGTGAGAGAGCGAAGCAGAATCCGGGGAAAGGAAGAAGAGAGAGGTGGGGTGGGCATGGCAGGAGAAAGAGTCACCTGGGCATGGGCGAGCTGTAAGGTCACCTGGGCATGGGCGTGCTGTAAGGTCACCTGGGCATGGGCGTGCTGTAAGGTCACCTGGGCATGGGCGAGCAGTAAGGTCACCTGGGCATGGGCGAACAGTAAGGTCACCTGGGCATGGGCGAGCAGTAAGGTCACCTGGGCATGGGCGAGCTGTAAGGTCACCTGGGCATGGGCGTGCTGTAAGGTCACCTGGGCATGGGCGAGCTGTAAGGTCACCTGGGCATGGGCGAGAGCTGTAAGGTCACCTGGGCATGGGCGTGCTGTGAGCGGTGGCTGCAGCCATGTCGTCACAGAGGCCGATGGCATGGCACACAAGATTTGGATCCATCTGATGGCATGGGGGAATGGGGGGAGAGATTGGTAGGGTGCAGAGGCACGATGGGTAAGAAGGGATGCATGCAAGCATGTTGTGAGAGCGCGATGGCATGGCTGCTCAAAGGTCCTCCATATGGCAGGGTGATGGCTGGCTGGCCGGGGCGATAACATCGTGGACGTGTGGTCTGTTGAGTTGAGGCGCCTCAAAGTTGTCCCTTTCCTCGCAATCTTCTGGGGCACCTTATATGAGTCATCATGGATGCACCGTATATGAGTCATCATGGAGGTGACGCACCATGTGTACCACATCTCCGGTTCACGCACCTTCTGCTCGAGCAGGTCAATGATGATGACAGCATAGTCGTGCACGAGCTGCTTACACGCTTCGCTCAGCACGCCCTTGGCTCCGATGGCTGCATTGATCTCCGCTATCACCGCCTGCCGTGTGGGGACAAGGAGGCACAACCATGGGGTTTTTTTTATCTCGTGGAAATGAAGGGGTATGTGAAAGGGGGGTGGTCAGGGGAAAGAGGAGACGGAATACGAGAGGTGGACTAGGGTGCATGGGAGAAGGGGAACATCGGCTGGGGAAGAATGGGGGGAGGGGAGGGGAGGGTTGAGGGAAGAGGGGCAGGGACGAGGAGGATTAAGGAGGGTCAAAGGTTCTCGAAAGGACCCGATGAGAAGCAAGGATTTGAAACTAAGGGCGGAAAGAGCAAACAAGGCGCACGGAGGGTCGAGCAGAGAGTGAAGTAATTTGAGAAGGAGGGTGGGTAGGAGGCGCACCGATGGGCCTGCAATGAGCGAGGTACCAGTGTCGGCAATGGCAGCACAGCCGCGCTTGCAGATGCCTGGTGGGGAGGAGACAGTGCGTCCAGAGAGAGAGAGGAGAGTGGAAGCGAGGAGGTGAATGTGCGTGAAGGAATTGATTTCATGAATCTTTGGACACACATAGATGCTCCCAACAACGCAGAGCAGTCAGAAATGCAGGTCGCTGACTCAAAGCAGGTCGCAGCGGGCAAAGCAAGGCACAAGGCAGGGCAGAAGAAGAAAGAGAGTGAAGGGGACGCAGGCAGCATGGGGGGCATGACTCACTGGTGGTGGAGCCGTTGATGAGCACATCTCCCATGTCAAACTGCATGGTCACCATGCACGCACACACATGCATATACGCACACATGTGCAGCCACGCACACACACATGCGGACACACACATGCGCACGCACACACACATGCGGCACACACACACAGTCAGGTGTGAACGGTTCAATCGTACTAAAAAGAATTCTTTAATCTCTATGCTTCAGACTCCCCTAAATTTCGGCATATGAAGCAGCGTGCAGCCAGCATGCCAAATTGGCGCATGAACGTCCACAGTACAGGCCGTGCCATGCCATTGAAATTCCATGCCATGGCGTTCCGCCCCCTTGACATGCCATGCATGCCATGCCATCCCATTCATTCCCAAGCCATGCCTCTGCACGCCCCCCTCGCCACTCCTCCCTTCCCCCTCCCTTCCCCCTCCCTTCCCCCTCCCTTCCCCCTCCCTTCCCCCTCCCTTCCCCCTCTCCCTTTCCCCCGCGCCCCTCTCAACCCCCCAGCGCACCTGCCAGTACCCGCGCCTGCTGACAGGCGCCCACGAGTGGTTCCCCTTGTAGTGCGCCTTATCCACTCCCCCAAACACCACCTCGCCGCCCGCCATGCCCTCGGGATCCCGGTTGAACCAGAAGGAGAAGACGGGCTCGGGCACCAACCCCTGGTCGAGCATGTTGTACCACGGGGGGATTATCCCGTTCACGGAGATCTCCTTAAAGCCCAGCCCCATGATTCCATCAAATTTCGCCGCGAAGAACGCGAGCCCGGGTTCGCTCGTGGCCTCCGCGAAGGTTTGCCCCGTTATAGTCACGTCGCCGATGGTCACATCGTCCTTGGATTGGAAGCCCTTCATGGCGCCGCTGCCGTACTGGATGGCGAACGGCGTGCCGTCCGCCTCGTACGAGCGCGACTTGCGCGAATCGTACTTGGCGTGGTTCAAACACGCCAGCTGCGAAAGGGGAAGGGGAAGAGGGGGGACGGGGAAGATGGGGGACGGGGAAGAACAGGGGACGGGGAGGAGCAAGGGAGGGAGCGGGGAGGGAGGGGGTGGATTGGTTGAACTAGGTGTGCTTTTGGTGAAAGAACCTCTGAGTGATAGGAGACGAAGGGGACGGAGGGAAAGGATGGGAAGGAGTGGAAGCGGGCAGGGCAAAGGGAAAAGGTGAGGCGTGCAGTGGACGGTAGCGGAGAGAGGAGTCGAGGCGATGGCGAGAGAAAGTGGAAAACAGGGAAACCCACGGGGACGATGCAGTTCCAGGGGAATCATAAAGAGAGAATATACGGAAATATAGTAACGAGGGGAGAGCGCGTCGTACAGAGAGGTAGCAGCGGCGCGAGGGCACCCAGAGGTTGCTGCTGCCGGTGTCGGGCACGACTTTGAACGTCTGTGGCGGCGAGCCGATGCCGATCTCCATGTAATACTGCGCGTCCATGTAGTTGCTCAGCGGCACCACGTCCGGCCCGCGCTCGCCGCCGCTTGCGCCGACTTCTGCGCCGTCCGCGCGGAGGCCGCTGGCGGCGAGAAGGCGCTGCTTGAACGCAGCGGACGATAGCCACTCGCGCTGCGCCGCGATGCGGTCTAGTGTGAGCTCCCCCGTCCGTCTCAGCCGCGCGCGCGCGAACCGCGGAGGCGCGGCCGTGGCGGAGCCATCGGAATCCGCCGCAAAAATTGGCGCGAGGGACGCGGCGAGAAGGAATAGCGCGAGGAGCGAAACCACGCGACGCTGGATGAGAAGCCCCATGAGAGCAAGCGGAACGAAAATTTCAAACCGTCCGATCAAGGTGGCGGATACAACAGAGATTCAAGATGCACGTGAAACGAAAACCCACAGTGCAAATGGGATCTAGGAGCAGAAGGAAATAATTGTGGAGTAAAATTGACGCGCGTGGGAGGCGATTTGGGGGAGTCGGGCGCGACGGGACAGGTTGGGTTGGGGAGCTGGCACTGTGACAGGCGGATGTGGCTGTTGGGCGCGAATTTGTTCCAGGGGGGAGGCGGAATAAGGGGGGCTGCTGCACAGGGGGAATTGGGGGGAAAGCGCCCGCAACAGCTGTGTCGACCACATCCAGTTCGGAAGGAGGCGGGTTTGCTATGGGGGGAGGTCCAGGCGAGGCGATAAAACCGTTGCGCGGAAGATAATGCAGTGCACCTCGTTCGTACGTCGTGTCGTGGAGACGTCGTGCTGCTGCTGACGCACCATTGTGGCATTTCCACGTGTTCCGCTCTAATTCCGCTATTGGGACTCATGAACCCGTATAGATTTCTTATAATTGGGAAGCCATATACCTATCGATCTACCAATCACCCAATTGCTCCAGCATCTAAGGACCGCAAGACATGATCATGCCTAAAGTATAAATCCTTGTGAAAATAAGAAATGGCAACTGTTCTAACAGTCCCAGTATGCTGGAACAAGGAGGGCACATGTGCATACCCAACGAGCTTCCTATTCTTCACACACTCTCCTAGCAGCACATCGCCTGGATTCTGCATAAACCGCGACTCCACATAGCCGACCACTTTCTTGGCAACATCAGCCCTGAAAAGGTCTGCTTGAGTGCAGCAGGGAAAATCATACACATCGCCGTGCTTAGCACCCCAATGATATGTCGTCGGGTAGTAAAGAGCCACCAAGTCCCAAGGATGCTTCTCACGAAGGTCAACCGTGAGAAACCTCTCGACGCCAGCATCCCAAAGCCATGCCGGCATTGCATCATCTTCTAGAAGGAGGACAAACCTGGGGTTTGTCAGCAGGCACTGATGCATGGCATAGATGAAATCCATGCTTATCTTCGTCTCCCATGTCCATCTAGCCCATCCCTTTCTCTCGATGATCCGTTGCGGAACCGCAGCCAGCAGCTTACCAGCATCCCCGAAAAACCCACACACGTCAGCATGAGCTGGCAGGACATCCACGTGGATGGACAGATTGGCCCCCACATCGCGAATGGCTTGGGTGTGGCTGTCGACAGTGGTGGTGCTGTCAAAGGCGGCCTGAGCAAGCACCTGAATGAGGGGGCGGACATACGTCTCACTCACACCAGCACCAGCAGCATATCGTCTCACCGCCTCATCCATCATCTCCCGTCTGCTCATCTCTCTCCCTCCTCCTCCCCTTCCCCTGCCACTTGCTGCTGCCTCTTGTCCGTTCGTTGTTCCACTCTTCCTGTTCCTTGTTCCTCCTCTACCCTTCCTCCCTCCTCCCCTCCCTTCTTGCTGCTGTGGCTTCGTTTCCCTCCACCGCTCCTCACCAAAGACAACACCCTGCTGAGTCAGCAAGTCCACAGGGTCAACCACGTGGCATGCTGAGCTGTACAGTACGATGCGCATGTCCTGCCCCAGCACCAAACCTTTCCGCTTTTGAAGCTCTTTGATCGCTTTCTCCACCTCCTCTCCCGTTTTAGGCACATCCTCAGCAGTCAAATCATCCTCTCCGTCCCCTTCCCCGTCCTCTTCCCCTTCCACTCTCTCTGTTTCTTGCTCCATCTCCTGATTAGCATTGCCACCAGCGTTGATTCTCCCCTCGCCTTTGCCTTTCCAAGCGGCCACTCGTCTCGAGTCTAATGCCTGCAGCAGCCGCACGACTCGCTGCCACGTGGGCTCCAAGTTTTGTGGGTCCAATCGTGGCGCGGATGTGATTGCTATGCACAGCCCGCTCGGCGCGCTTGCGTTCACGCGTCGCTTCTGTGCCTCTGAGCTGGCGGCATCTGACTGACCGCTGAATTTTCCAGCTGATTTCTCAGGTGGAATGACTGACCGTGGTAAAGGAGGTACACGAGGCGCGAAGAAGTCCTCGCTGACGTGGCGACGAAGGTGGAGTGGATGAAAGGAGCTGGAATCACGAGAGAAGAGCCAATCAAAAGGCAGCCTTGGGAATGCAGCGAGGGTAGGCGATGAAATCAAGCGCCAAGTACTAGCGATACTGCTCAAAACGGGGTCTCTCGGGTCGGCGCGCTCAGGAGAAGTGTGCGAGGAGTGAAGACGGGAGACAGCGAGGTATGAGCGGGCAACGAGGATACCCCACGGGAGAAGAACGGCTGCGATTGCCGCGAGGACGAGAACTCGCATTCCTACGCGTCGATTGCTGCGCGGCATTTTGGGTCGTCAATGTGGGAGCACGTAATCGATTCATCACTGTGGGGGGAGCACGTAAGGGCGCGTCACCTCTCAAGCAGTCGGCCAAAATTCGAATGCTGTCACTATTTTTCAGTGCCCGAACAGCACAATTCCGATGTTCGAACAAGATTTGAAAATTTGGTGAAAGGTGACGGTGTGTCACATGAAGTGACAGGTGTGTTCGAAAATGCGACGTCGCCTGTCATGCGACGTCGTACAACCGTCGTCAGAAGATTTTGATTGCATAACGAACATAAAAAGGCAGTCGTAAGGTACCTGGAAACTTCTTCGTGCTGTTCGTGGGCGTCGTATGTGCTCATCCCGAATTACATTCGAACGAACTCATTCGAACAGCAAGCGCGAAATCCCTCGTGCTGGATGTGACAGCTCTGTTCGATTTAGCGACGTTTCTATTTGCGAACTAACGAGGACTCAACGAACTGCTTGCGAAAATAGGCGAGATGTGTAACATGTCGCTTGTTCGAACAAAGGGCTTTGTTCGAATTTTGAGGTGAAGCGCCCTAAGCTCGAGCGATCATGGACTGGGCTCTGGGGCTGTGCTTGCTTGTTGCTTCGGTTGAGATGGGTTGGGTTGAATATCAACGTCAATACAAAGTGCTTCTGTGCTAGGCTATGAAGAAATCTCAGGGTGATTTTTTTCCCGCCTATAACGAGTCGAGTACATCCAAGTCAGACCCTCCACATTCCCAAGGGCCCAACAACACCAGCAGGCGAATTCCTTCCAGAGCTCTGAGCATTTTTTCCCCACAAAGTCTCGGGAATCCCAAGGTTACTGCGCTCGCTGTTATTGCCTGCTCGCGGTTCAAGCTTGTCGCACCTCACACGCAACCAGCTTCCTGCGCTAACCCTCGATTTTGCCGCTTCTGGTTCGAATCCTTGCTGCGTCAAAGCGTTGCCTGCGACATGTCCAGTAGGCGTGCGACGGTGCTGCTAGGTGTAACTGTCCTCGCGACTGTCGCTGGCATCGCATACGTGCACGAGCTGCAAGTGAAGGAGCGAGAGGTGTGTTACCTCTTCTCATTCCCTAATCTCTTGCCTTCCGCTTTGATGTAGTCACGCTTGTATCATCTCACCTGTGTCACTCATACTAAGTAGCACTCGGTGAATGCAGGAAGTTCCTTCGTTTGGTCATGGTAGTTAATCACGTTTTCCGACACCCACGCATTTTCGCGAATCCCCTGCCGCCACGTGGCACAGAACCTCCACCGCGGAGTGCTGCGCGACGACCAGCTTTTGGAAGAGAAGCGTCGCCAGTTCCAGTCGCAGGCTCAGCCGTCGCATTCACCGCTGTCGCTGACGCAATCGCAGCAAGCTTCCCCTCCAGCAGCGCAGCAGCAGTAACCCGAATTCGTGACACCACAGGAGGCATCAGAACATTCACTCTCAGATGCAATCACAGCCGTAAAAATCACAGCCCTTCTTCAGCCCTCTATCTCCACTCTCCTCTAGATCTTCCGTTTCAAGCACCAGCGGACATTCGTCTTCGTCAGCGAAACAAATATATAAACGGAATGGCATCATCAGCAGATCACAATCATGCGCGCATACCAGCAGCGGATCAATCTCCGCTCTTTCAGCTCTCCGCCATGCTCCCTTTCTCTTCGACTTCTCTCCCCACATCTCCGCCCCTCTCCCCGTCAACTTTTCCCTCCGCCCCCGCCCCTTTCCCTTCCTCCTCCGCCTCCCCTCCTCCTTCCGCCGCCTGCTCCCCCTCCCCCTTCTGGCGCATGCCTCTCTCACCCTCCCGCGTTTACCTTATTGATTCACCCGCCTCCTTCCGGGCGGCAAGGGTTGACGTTATCCTGTCCAAAGCAATCATGGTGGGGCTTGATGCCGAGTGGCGGCCGTCCAGACTCCGGCGGGAAATTGCTGAGCTGGCACAACAGGCTGACGTGGTTAAACAGGCAGACGTGGCTAAACAGGCTGACGTGGCAACTGCATCATCACTTCAAGCAGCAACATCAACAGCATCAGCGGCATCAGCAGCAGCAGCAGCAGCAGCATCAGAAGCAGCAGCAGCAGCAGCAGCAGCGTCATCTGCGGACATACTTCCCCCCCATCGTGTGGCACTGCTGCAGATAGCATGCCGCGTACCCGTGGGTACATGCGGCCACCACGATTGTGACAATGGTGAGAGTGACCATGGTGAGAGTGACCATGACGCATGTCACCGCGATGGCAGTGGAGAACGGTCGCAGCAGCAGGGACGGGAGAAGCAGGGGGGCTACGGAGTGGCACCAGGGCTGCGAGGGCAGCAGCAGCAGCAGCATGTGGGGCAGCGTGAGAGCGGAGCAGCAGTATTGCCACATAGGACAGACAGCTCTCAGAAACCGACTGACATCTGGCGGCGGGTCGACAGGTGCCAAGAGGCGGATGGGTGGGAGGAGGTGGTGGTGCTGCTGGACCTGCTGTCTCTCCCGCCCTGCCTGTACGCCCCCCCTCTCCGTGCCATGCTGCGCGCCCCTCACACCCTCAAGCTCGGCTTTGCCTTCTCAGACGACCTCGAGTTCCTCCACCAATCCCTCCCTTCATACCACCGCTCCCTCCCCCCACACCATCACTCCCTTCCCTCACACCACCAGTCGCTTCCCCCTCACCACCACTCCCTGTCCCTTGACCATGACCATCACTCCATCCCCCCAGACCAGCACGACTCCCGTCCTTCACACCACCATCACCCGTCCCACGACTGCTTCCACCACGTGTCGCCCTTCATAGACGTGGGCACGGCCTACCACGCCATTCGCCGCGCCCGCCTGCACCTCAAGCGAGACAACCTGCTCTCCCTCCTTACCGCCGCCGCCCCTCCCGGCTCCCTCGCCTCCAAGTCAGTGCTGCCGCCCGCGTCAGGGCTGTCAGCGCTGGCGCAGGTGCTGCTGGGGGCGCCGTTAGACAAGGAGTTGCAGTGCAGTGACTGGGAGCAGCGGCCGCTGTCACGCCACCAGCTGCACTATGCTGCTGCGGATGCCCTCTGCCTTATTCACATGGCGCTCGCGCTTCTCCCCCTCGCTCTGCGCCCCCATGCCCTCTCTGCCCATGCCCTTTCCGCAAATGGAAAGGGGCAGGTTGGACTAGCAGCAGTACACGGAGGCCCATCCACGTCATCATCCCTGTCAGCATCATCCTCGTCAGCATCCTCGTCAGCATCCTCGTCAGCATCTTCGTCAGCATCACCTTGTGTTGTTCACCAGCCCATTCCGGCTGCATCTGTTTTAGTAACTGCGTGTACTGTCACGCCTGCACTCCCACCCTTTCAGTCACACCATCGCCTCATGCACACCATGCATCATCAGCAGCAGCATCAGCAGCATCATTATCAGCATCATTATGAGCATCGTCATCATGATCTGCATCAGCAGCAGCAAAACAGGACTGCAACCCTCGTTGCTGCCCTATCAGAGCTCATAGAGGAGCATTCCCACACGCTCTCCCTCTGCCACATCACTGGAAAGGTGCGCTCCGTGGTAAAGAGCACGGACGGCATCAACAACAGCACCAGCACTAGCAGCAGCAGCGACAGCAGAGCTAGTTTGAGTCAAGGGGGGCCAGGGAAGGGGAGGGGTGGCTCAGGCAAGCGGTTGAACTCGAGAAAGGGGAGGAAGCAGGCCCGGGAGAGCAGGATTAGAGACGACGGGGAGGAGGCAGCAGGGGGGGACGAAGGAGAGAGAGCGGTGGAGGCAGGGCGAGGGTCAGAAGGAGAAGCAGCAGGCAGGGCAGTGGCATGTGAGCAGGGCAGCGGTGGATTGCGTCACAATGAAGCGCGCTCAAATGATGCTGCGCACTCAGGGGATGCTCGTGCTGACATGCCGCACAATGGACTGGTGTCACCATGCCATGCAGTGCGCCAATACGACCTGTCTAGGAACGGATTGGTGCCGCCTTGGGATGTGTCGCGGGGAGGGGATGGGCAGGCGCGGTTCCTGTGTGACTCCATGGTGGAGGGGCTGGCACGGCAGCTGCGCTGTGTAGGCGTTGACACCGCTTCGCCTAAGACTCTCGGCCGAGACACGTGTGACACCAGGTATGGTTGAGCTTGGATGATGGTCGGGAAAATTGGGCACGCGAAGTTTGACAGGAAGGGATTCATAATGCGATTGTTTCATGCCAAATGGGCTTGTGCTGCCTCTGTTCCTACCCTGCCCACCCTGCTTCCTCACCCTTTTACAGGAAGCTGATCGAGTGGGCAGAGGGGGAGGGTCGTGTGCTTCTGACGAGGGACGTGAAGCTCTTCCGGCGCCGCCTGCTGCCGCCCAGCCACATTCACCTCATTAAAAGCACCGACAAGCGCGAGCAGCTCCGCGAGGTGGTAACCGCGTTCCGCCTGCTCCTCTGCGAGTCCTCGCTGCTCTCACGCTGCATCCGCTGCAACGGCACCTTCAAGCCGCAGGCTCTGGGGCCCTCAGAGGCAGCAGCGGCAGCACCGTGGACACAGGTGGTGCCGAGTCACGTGTTGGATCGTGTAGCAGAGTTCTGGCAGTGCTGCCAGTGCCAGCACCTGTACTGGGAGGTGAGAGCTGACATGTGTGTAAGAGTTTTGAAACATCTCAAAAGTCAGTATCGGTGGTGTTATGGTCTCAGGTGGTGCCCAGCCTTGTCTTGGCTCGAGTGCTGGAGTTTTGGCAGTGCTGCCAGTGCCAGCACCTCTACTGGGAGGTAAGGTGTGAGATGCGTGAAGGGAGGTTTGAGACATGTGGGAGGGAGCTGCGCCTTTGTGTCTCCTTGCTTCCCTGTCAACATCTCTCTCTCTCACACTGTCTCTTCATCCATGCCTCTCCGTTGCGCCCCAACTTCCAGGGCTGCCAGTTTGATCGCGCCATCAAGCAATTCACCGAGGTGTGCCAGCTGTCGGCTGCGCTGGCTCAGACGAATGTTTCAGCCAACAGTTAATTCTTTAGTCAAGTCAAAAGCCATCAAGCAATTAGCTGAGGTGTACCAGCTGAGCTAGTGCAGCAGACTAACATCATTGCCAGCAGTACAGTACATCCTGCTCTGCAGGGGTCTTCATGTCATTCGATGCGCATTGGCACGCCTACACAACAAAGCAACGGTCTTCAGTGTGTCGATCACCATCAACAGGTTCATCCCCACACTAAACCAAGTTGACACAGCCAAGGCAGCATGCAGGATTCTCAGGTCTGAGTCACATCATCAACACACTGAGAATCAGTCTTACCAATACAGAGTGACTGGACATGTGCTTTGGGTTTGCTGAGAAAGACCCACCCCGGTTCCAGAATACTGTACATTCATTTTTTAAAATGTTGTAAGTTGTTTATTTCATCATGAGCAATATAGGGCTGGCTGCTTGATCAATCATTAATGTTTTATTCACCACAGTCTATTTTCTGATTTGCTCTGCCTCGTCACTAACACTTTGGGCCATCGATTCTGCAATTGAAGGTCCTAGGCAAGCTATTGTTTTCACAGGTTGAAACTTGGTGAAATCACACTTCATTCCCTGCATGGATGCATGAGATGATGGGCTTCGTTCACGTAGCCCTGTAAAATTCATATCACATACATTCAGATGTGTTTCTTTTATTATGTAGTCGTCAACTATTCCAAATAATGCGCCTTGTTGGAATGATCCATATGTTGAGTTGAAGCTTTCATATCGGGTAGCATACTCATCAGCTAGTCTGGTCTGATTAGGATGTGCGTGGAGGATCGAGGTGTCTCCAATTTGATGATGTGGCGAACCTTATCAGTACGAAACAGCACCTTGATTTGGCCAGCGTGTCAGCATTTTGGTGCGGAACTACGGCCGACAATTTACGTGATCGCGCGTTGCGATCCGTCTAGGCAGCTTCGCAAGACTTCGAAGATGGCTCCTCTGTCGGCGGTGTTTGTGCTGTGACGTCAACACATCAGCTCAGCCTCTGACCCTCCCTTCCCGTTCCCGCAGTTCTGTTCCCCGAACTTGAACAGTCGTCAGGCATCGCGCCTCGGTTGACTGCAATTTGTGGACCAAATGGAGTTGATTGTGATCTCGTCACCTTCGTTCTGTTTGGTCTGTGATCTCCTGACGAGTTGTTAGCCAATTAGAGTCGTCGTGGGTTTGACAGGCTGTAAGTGACGCTCGCAAGGAGTGGTGGACGACTTTTGACGAAGGTCGCGCGTCCATCTTCCTGGCACCCTACAGCCCATTTCCCCTTGGAATTCACAAACAGTTCCGCCGGCAAACTCGTCCTCTTCCCGCCTGTCCTCTGTGGCGCGTCCCGTGGTTTGAATTTTTATTTGTGTGTTTTTTTGAAACTCATTTTTTTTTGCTGGCAAAAGCTTATATCTTCAAGGGAGAAGTGTAGCAGCTTTATCTCTAAGAGACGCAATGACACAAGTCCTGATTTCAGGTATTTTGAAATTTGGATGCTGATTACATCGCATGCTGTATGTGTACTCAAAATGTTTTTTTGACCCGCAGCAGGTGGTGGTGACCACCACATCCCACAGAGTTGCTCTGACACTGTACTGTAGTTTTCGGCTTGTAGTGGCCCAACCATCTCGTCTGCTCCACCCTCACCTTGCGGCAAGGATGCTCAGGGAGCCTCCTCACAGAGCAGAAACACAAACGTACCTGCGAGGAGAAAGTAGAGCCTGTAGACACACTGCCCGTGTGTTTCGTAGCATGTATATAACACAGGGACTTAGAATCAGAAAGCTTTAAGCTCATAATTCCCGAGGTCGACCACCAAAATTTCCGTCATCAACGAGCTTCATTCGCCCGACCACCATGCGCCCTGGAGGTCGCCCACAATAATTTCCGTCATCAACGAGCTTCATTCATCTGCTCATAAACCCTGGAGATCGTCCACCAACCATTCGCCCCCATCGCCAACCTGCAACCCGCCTCCATCCGCACACCGCCCCCCGCCCAGCCTACCCTTCGATCTCCAAATGTAAGCATAATGTTCTTATGTCTATTTGTTTCGACTTAGACGTTTTTTGAATGTCATTGTTTAAGTACTTATTTGTGTAAACCTCCGATTACTGACTCTTCTGTGTTCGTTATTCGCAGGTACAAAAGACAAGTTCAGTGGAGAATCTGCATACGAACTGCTGCTCCGCAGCCGCAGAACACGCCGAACTGCTGCTCAAGCCGAACTGCCGGTCATTTTCAAGCCGTGCCGAACTTCTGCTCTGCATTTTCAAGCCGTGCGTGGCGCTCTGACGCGTTGAGAGTGCTTCTGCCGCGTGTCATGACGCTGACGTGCTGGTCTGACGCTTCATTTGGACAACCCTGGAGATCGCCCACCACCGCTAACCAACAAACCGCCTCCATCCATCCCGCCTCCCGCCCAGCCTGCCCTTCGATCTCCAGTGGTAAGCACGAAGTTGTTAAGTCTACTTATTTTGAGTTTTACGCTCTAGATCTATTTGAATGTCCTTGTTTATTTCCGACTTCTGACTCTCGTTTGGTTGTATTTTCGCAGGTTCAAAAGTCTTTGACGAATCTGCTGCGGAACTGCTGCTATGCAGCCACTGAACGAGCCGAACTTCTGCTCTGCTCTTTCAAGCCGTGCGTGGCGCTCTGACGCGTTGGGAGTGCTTCTGCTGCCGCCTGTCATGACGCTGACGTGCTGGTCTGACGCTTCATTTGGACGACCCTGGAGATCGCCCACCACCGCCAACCAACAAACCGCCTCCATCCATCCCGCCTCCCGCCCAGCCTGCCCTTCGATCTCCAGTGGTAAGCACTAAGTCGTTAATTCTAGTTATTTTGAGTTTTACGCACTATATTTTTTGAATGTACTTTTTTTTTTTCATCACTCTACGTCTACTTCTGATTTCGCAGGTACAAAAGACTTGCTGCTCTCCATCAAGTCCAATTAAGACGGTTGTTCATTGCCAAGACTTGCTGTTCAAGACTTGCTGCTCATTGTCAAGTGACGGACGTTCTGCTTTGAACGGTCTGGCGCGGTTGTTGGTGGTTTGACGCGGTGTGACGCGGTGCTGCCGCGTTTTCATCATGCTGCCGCGTTTGATAGGGAAGTGTTGCTTCCCTTTCCCCTCGTTTCTTTCCTCGCTTTTGTTTCAATTTCCTCGCTTTCGATTTTCGTCATCATTATCATCATCCACAACCGCCCATTCGTGCGTCGCCATTTTCCATCGTCCCTCTGGTTCATACGGCTGCAGTCGGAAGAAGATCCTCCTCGGTTGGGTAGATGGGGTTGGCTAGATTAGATCCTCCCTCTGAAGGCTGCAGCCTATGAACCATGGACGTCCGCCTTCATTACTCGTTCCCTTTGTCGTTTTCATATTCATTTTCGCTTTCGATTTTCGCATTCGTTTTATGCTTCTTTTTTTTCCCCTTTGTTTTTCTTCGTGTCATTGCTGTTTACTAACTTCGTGCTTCTGTTTTTGTTTCTTACCCCCCGTTTTCAGCCATGGAGGATGATGTCGCGCGTGGAAGCAGATCTACCAAGGAAATCGCCTACGAAGCAGCCTATGAAGCCGCAGCAACAAAGGTAAACTTCAGTCCTGTTTATTCTTGCATTCTGCTTGAGCTGGTTGCAAACCGTGTCTGTTTGTTTTCTTCAATATCTGGACTTTGGAAAGCTACATACTAATTGGTGTCTTCTGTTTTTTCTTAAACAGGACCAGCAAGCCTACTAAGGAGCCTACGAAGCTGCCTACCAAGGAGCCTACGAAGCAAATGAAGCAGCCCACAAAGCCGCCATTGAAGCTGTGAAGGTAAGCTTCTGAGTCCTCTCGTTCTTGGTTCTTGCTGTTTACCGTTATCTATTTGAGCTGGCTGCAAATCGTTTCTTAAAGATTTAAATATATACTAATTCGTGTCTCGTGTTATCTTGAACAGGACCAACCAACGAATCAGCCAACGAAGCCAATGGATAAGCAGCTGACGGAGCAGGCTACTACCAAGGAGCCTACGAAGCAGATGAAGCAGCCCATAAAGCCGCCATTGAAGCCGTGAAGGTAAGCTTCTGAATCCTCTCGTTGATTCTTGCTGTTTACCGTTTTCTATTTGAGCTGGCTGCAAATCGTTTCTTAAAGATTTAAATATATACTAATTCGTGTTTCGTGTTATCTTGAACAGGACCAATCAACGAATCAGCCAACGAAGCCATTGGATAAACAGCTGATGGAGCAGCCTACTACCAAGGAGCCTACGAAGCAGATGAAGTAGCCCACAAAGCCGCCATTGAAGCTGTGAAGGTAAGCTTCTGAGTCCTCTCGTTCTTGATCCTTGATGTTTACTGTTTTCAACTTGAACTGGCTGCAAATCGTTTTAAGATTTTAATATATACTAATTCGTGTCTCGTTTTATCTTGAACAGGACCAACCAACGAAGCAGCCGACGAAGCCAATGGAAAGGCAGCTGACGGAGAAGCTTACAAAGCCTCCCACGAAGCACATGAAGCAGCAGCCTACAAAGTCCCCTACGAATCACATGACGCTTCAGCATACAAAGCTGGATCGATGTGCGACAGGCTGCAAGCAGCGGCGAAAGCAGAGGCTGGGCTTCAAGGAGCGGCGGAAGCGGTTGCTGGGATGCAAGGAGCGGCGGAATTGGTTGGCGGACTGCGGAAGAGGAGGCTGGGCTGCGGAAGTGGAGGCTGGGCTGCGGAAGCATAGGCTGGGCTGCGGAAGCGGGGGCTGGGCTGCGGAAGCGGAGGCTGGGCTGCGGAAGCGGAGGCTGGGCTGCGGAAGCCGAGGCTGGGCTGCGGCATCGGAGGCTGGGCTGCGGAAGCGGAGACTGGGCTGTGGAAGCGGTGGCTGGGCGGCGGAAGTGGTTGCTGAGCTGCGGAAGCGGTGGCTGGGCTGCGGAAGCGATTGCTGGGCTGCTGAGCGGCGAACCCTAAACCAGGAAGCGGAACGGCGATGCGGTGAACAAGGGAGCGGCGAAGCAGTTACAAGGGAGCGGCGAA